CTCAGCTCTCCAGGGGGCGGGGCTGGCTGGCATGTGGTGCTGGGGGATTGAACCGCGGTCCCTGTGCTTTGCTAAGTTAGTTCTAAGTAGGTGCTTTAGACCACTGAGCCATCTTACCAGCCCTGTACCTTTTTTTTTTTTAATTATTTATTTATTACATTTTTTTTTTTTTATTTAGTGTGTGTATGTGTGTGGCCAGCTCAGCCCACCAGGGGGCGGGGCTGGCTGGCATGTGGTGCTGGGGGATCGAACCGCGGTCCCTGTGCTTTGCCAAGCTTGTTCCAAGTAGGTGCTTTAGACCACTGAGCCATCTCTCCAGCCCCCCTGTACCTGTTTTTGATAACAAACTTTTTTGTTTTTCTTTTCCTTTTTTGTTTTTTTTTTTTTTTGTATTTTAGTAAGGGTGTACAGGGTCTATAGGGTCTCACTACATAGATGAGACTCGTAGTGATCTGCCTGTGTTTCACCTCCCAAGAGCTGGGATTATAGGCGTGTGTGGCACCACACCCAGTCTCAATCCCCATGTCAGTGCGCCCCCATGGTGGGGCCCCACAGCTAATAACCAGCTTTAATAACCCCTCAAAACTCATTTAATGGATGTGCCAATTAGTCTTAGGAGTTAATTTAGCTAGTCTCCACCACATTAATCAAATACTTCTCTAGATGTTGCTGTGAAGGGAGTTGACAGATGTGGGTAGTTTCCATAGCCTTAATCTGTAATCTGTTGTTTCCTTACTTTTTTTTTTCTTTTCAAAGTTGTATAGATAAACATATAGCAATGAGACAGTTTCAAATCAAATCGAAAGTACAGTTTCAACAAATAATACACTGCATATATTCTTCTTAGTAGTTAATTGCTGTACAAGATGGAGACTTGTGTGTTGTTTCCTTACTTAAAGTCAACAAGCTGTGCATGCCTGTGATCCCAGCACTTAGGAGGCTGAGGCAGGCAGACTGCATAGAGTTCAAGGTCAGCCTGGCTACAGAGACATTGTCTTTGACATTTTTCTCTTTTCTGCCATATATAACCTGATCAGTTTCATTGAATATGTCACACACCTTTTATGTTCCATTATAAGGCTGGCCGTCCAAGGGCTGGCTAGATAGCTCTGCAGACTAAAGTGCCTGCTTAGGCAGGAGCAGGGACCAGATTCAATCCCTGGCATACTATGCTGGCCCTGCCCCAGGCTCACTGAGACTGAGAATGGTGGTGCGTGCCTGTAATCCCAGCACTTGGGAAGCTAAAAACTAGAGGATCACTGAGTCTGATCTATGTAGTGAGATACTGTAGACCCTGTACTAAATACATAAAGAAAAACAAAGATAAGGCTGGACTCTGTTCGCCCCAACTTTTTTTTTTTTGGCAGAACCAGGGATTGAACTTGGGCCCTTGTGCTTGCCAGGCAAGTGCTTATTCTACTGAGCTATCCCCCCGGCCCTGGCCCCCAACTCTGATGACAGAAGATAAGCCCTTTCCTCCAAATCCATTTTTTATTAGTGATATAGTGATATAAAAAGACAATATAGAGACCCTGTACCAAATAAATAAAATATGAAACAAAATGTTTAGGCCGGCCTGAATAGCTCCGTGGACTAAAGTGCCTGCTTAGGCAAAGCACAGTGGTTGGGGTTCAGCGTCCAGCATGCCGTGCCAGCCCCCCCCCCCCCCCCACTGAGATGTCAATTGAGGCTGGGCATGGTGGCCTGTAATCCCAGCTTTTGGGAGGTGAAACACAGGCAGATCACTAAAGTCCACAGTGAGACCCTGCTCTAACTAAAGGAAAAAAAGACAATATAGAAGTATAAAGCAAGGGGCCGGGGAGATGGCTCAGTAGAATAAGAGTTTCCCTGGGGGCCGGGGAGATGGCTCAGTAGAATAAGCGCTTCCCTGGCAAGTGCGAGG